CCAGTCACAACTTGATACCCAACAGCCTCTAAATTCATTGAATTTGATACTCAACAAACTGCTGGGAAAATTTTGCCCCACTAGTCATTTGTTTGGTACTCATGTGCAAGCCATAACTTGTTGACATTGCCCCGTAACTCATTACCCTTCCCAGACAAAACAATTTGGTATTTGCCACACCTCCTAGGGCCACTTAAGGACAAGCACTGAATATGTTAAGTTTCTCCCCAGCACAGGCCATTCCTCACTGATGTCTACACCCTGAGAATTTGAAAGGATTCCAATGTTTCTTACACTCTGTATGCCATCAAAATGCTGGTTCTCCTTGCTTTAAATATATCACTAAAGCTGGGGATATAGCTCAGCAGCATAGCACCTGCCTAGCAAGCACAAGGTCATGAGTTTGATCCCTGGTACCAAAAAAAAAAAAAAAAAAAAAAAAAAAAATCACTAAAATATTTTTTACCCCAAATCCACAATAAAACATTTTAAAGCCTCCAAATCAACAGTTATATAAATTGGGGGGAGACTGCCAGCAATTGCATGCCAGTCCTTGCATGACAGACAAGCTTTAATCAATACACAATCTGTCCTAATTATGGGTCTCATTTCAAACAAGACCCAAAAGAATTTCCTAACTCATAATTCAAACATAATGAACTCCTCAGAATTTTCTAAAACCACACAGAGAACAGCTTGCATGGGGGTGGGGGAGCAGGGGTTGGAGGAATACTGTGGATTAGAGTTCCAATTTCAGCCCTTTTTAGTATTTTACTTTGAGACAAGGTCTAGGTTTCTAAGGCTAGGGTATAGCTCAGCAGCATAGCACCTGTCTAGCAAGTGTGAGGCCCCGTGCTCAGTTCTCAGTACAACAGAAAAAAAAGGTCCAAGTTTCTAAATTGCCCTAGCTGGGCTCAAACTTGCAGTCCTCCTGCTTTAGTCTCCCATATAGCTGGAATTATGGACTCACACACTACATGGATATATTTTTCCTAGTCTTAATATACATTTCAGCCGTTGTGCTGGCACACGCTTATAATCCCAGCATGCGTAGGAGGCTGAGTCAGGAGGATCACTGTGAATTTGAGGCCAGCTCGAATTATGTAGAGACCTTGTCTCAAAATAAATAATAAACATATAAATACATACACTTTTCAGTCATATACACATTATACTTTTTCCCTTTTGTTTGTACCAAGGACCAAATTCACCACCTTGTGCTTGCCAGGCAGGCACTTCTGCCACTGAGCTAGATCCCCAGTCTCACATTATACTTTTCAATACAATTTATCAGGTAATTAAAGATTACCACATTATTTTGGACTATGAAAGCTTTATCCCACAGTAACTCTCTTGCCAATAATTTATCAGTTCACTAGTTCTATTAAGCTGCCAGTACTAAATACAAAGAACAATATGTGTTCAGTACTGGGTACAAAAGTGAATGAACTATGATTGGGCATGGTAGCACACTCCTATAATCCCAGCATTCAGGAGGCTGAGATAAGAGGATCATTGCAAGTTCAAGACCAGCCTGGGTTACAAAGTGAGCCCAAGGCCAGCCTGAAACACATAGTGAGACCTTGTATCAAAAAGACAAAAAAAGGAGCCAGGGGTTTAGCTCAGGGTGTAAAGTGCCTGCTTGGCAAATGTGAGGTCGTGAGTGCGATCCCCAGCACCAAAAAAAAAAAAAAAAAAAAACACGTGAATGAACTAAAACAAGCAAATAGGGCTGGGGATTTAGCTCAGCGTCATGAGCACCAGCCTTGCAAGCAGGCGGTCGTGAGTTCAATCTCCGGTACCGCTAAAAATGAAAAAGACAAAAAATAAAGTAAAATAAAACAAGGAAATAAAACTGGTATACACCTATAATTCCAGTATTCTGGGAGGCTGAAGCAAAAGGATTCCAAGTTTGAGTCTAGTCTTGGCTACTCAGTGACTTAGCAAGTCTGAAAACAAATAATAAAAAAGGGCTGGGGATCTGAAGAAAGTTTTTTTTTTAAATCACTGAGGACTGAACCCTGAGTTCAGTGAGCCTTTATACTGAGCTACTTTCTTCAGATCCCCAGCCCTCAGTATAAAGGCTCACTGAACTCAGGGTTCAGTCCTCAGTGATTTAAAAAAAAAAAGAAGTGTGCTCCTCTTAACTAACATGTATAATTTTTATAAACATTAGAAACTGAGCTTTATTAACATCTCTGCTTTGTTCCAAGAAACTAACAGCCACATATGAGGTTCACTTTTAGTAATTGTGCAGTCCTTTCTGGTCTGTGTACTAATTTTACCATTACTTTCATCTTTTCTCATTTCTTCTTTGTCTTAATTTATCTGTAATCCTCTAGACCATACATATTTTAAAAAGAGGTGGAAAATAAAACGTAATTGATGAGTGCATGTAATATTTTCTTTGTGTTATTTCTAAGATAATGGCCTTTCTATATTTCCTAGGCTGGCCTCAACTCCAGATCATCCTGCCTTGGCCTTCCAATAGACTGGGATTATAGATGCATGCTACTGCACCCAGCTTGTTGGAGACTTTTAACCTAAAATGTGGTATACAGAAATGTCTGCGCACCAGGCATTGTTCTAGGTACTTTAAAGGCATGGAAGAGTTGGACTGTTATTATTTCCATTGCACAGATAAGGAACGTGAGGATTAGAGAGGTCTATTAATTTGCATGTGATCTCATGGCTTGTGTCTGGCGGCAGTAGATTCAGTCAAAACCATGACAGATGAGTAAATGTACAGGCTAGGAAGATTGTCAAGGAACAAAAAGAAATTATTCCAGAAAGAGAAATCACATATAAAAGCCTATACAAAGGAGAGAAAACATAAGTTCTGAAAATGGCAAATAAAACATAATTATTATATTCAGCAGTTCTTCACCTTGAAGTGTTCGACAGAAACTTAAATCACTTAAAATCAGACATTTAATTGATTCATTATTGAGAACTACTTAATGGAGAGCTGCAAAGGTAGGTGAAAGTGAAATAAAGGTAGTCCTTTGAAAAGTCTGAATTCTGTTCAATAGTAATAGGGAACCTCAGAGCTCCTAAGCACTAGAATTACATATTGACTTGCACCGTATGGTGAATTAATTATATAATGCAGCTAGGAAACTCACCCAGAGGGCACCAGGAATCTGGCAGTGGGGTAAACAGAGTTAAACCAGTATTGTCCAAAAAGAAATCCAATGCTACCAGCCATGGTGGTGCACATCTATAATCTCAGCCCTCCATAGGCTGTGGCAGGAGGTGTGATGAGAGTTAAAGGCCAGCCTGGGCTACACAGTGAATTCAAAGCCACCCTGAAGTACAAAGCAAGACCCTGTCTCAAAAAAAAAAAGCAAACCATTAATGTAATTTTGATTTTCTAGTGGTCACCATTAGAAAAAGTAAATGGTTATCCAGGTGTGGTGGTACACACCTATAATTCCAGTTACTGTGGAAGCTGAAGCAAGAGGATCGTAGCCTGGAAAATTTAGCAAGACTGACTCAAAAATGTAAAGGGCTAGGAATGTAATTCAGTGGTACAGCGCCTCTGGGTTCAATTTCTAGTATCACGTAATAAACAGATAAAAAGAAGTAAGTGAAAATAATTTTAGTTACTATACCTGTAACAGTACTTCAGTATATATTCATTAAAACTTTAAAAAGACAAATTTTATTCTTTCTATAATAACTTAAAATCTACAGTACATTTTATATTATTTCAGATACTACATTTTCACTGAAAATATCTGATAGCTTTTAGATTTCATAAACTCTATTGGTGAAATAATAGACTCACATGCCCAAGGATGTCTAAGATATAAACATGTTTCCAGGAAATTACCAGCTTGCAAATAAATAAAATTTAAAATTCATTCTCTCAGATACTGTAGCCACACTTCGTGAGCTCCAGCTGCATATGATTACCACATTAGACAAAAGAGGCTGAAAGTCACTTCCACATAGTATTTTGTAACTTCCTACTTCTGATGTTTCTGTGTATTAACCGCAATAACTCTGCAGGTACCAACTATGAAAATCACTCCTGGTCAGATCCTCATTGCTGGAGCTTCTTTTCCCCAAGCCAATGTTAACAAATGTAAACAACAAGCCTCCCAACAACTACACAGAATGCTATGTAGTACCTGATACATGGAATGCACTCAAAAATACTTGCAGAATCCCTGCTCTTCCTTCTTCAAGGAATCATTCACTTGTTTGTGGCAGCTTAAGCCCTTTGTTACTATGTGTATGCCTAATGCTCAACTAGCTCAGTTTATTAGATTCTATGTAAAATGAAAAAAGAAAAAACAATAAGGAAATATTTTTTCAATTGTATATGAAAGGCATTATATTATAGTGATTAGAATCTTAAACTCTGGTGTCATCAGATTACCTGGATTCAATTTTGGTTTTTAGGGTCTCATTATGTAGCCCAGGCTGGCCTCCAACTCAAGGTGATCCTCCTGCCTCAGCCTCTCCAAGTGCTGAAATCACAGACATGTGCCACTATACCTGACTTGAATTCCAACCTTTGTTCTATCATTTATTAGATCTGTGACCTTAGGTAAATACTTGGCTTCTCTGGGACTCAATTCCATCCCCCTCTTTAAAACAGTGATGACACTACACAGTACTGTCTTGCAGAGCTCAAGGTTTATAGGTGATAATCCATATAAAGCACTGGCATATAGTACTTGACACATAGTAGCTGCTCAATAAACCTTAGCTTTTCAAACCGAGACGGAAGCAAAGTTGAGATTATGACAAGAAAAAAAAATTAAATTAGGATTGTTCGATTCTCCATTATCTTACATACAAAGAAAAATTTAAGATGGTAAGTTGAAATCCTCACAAGGAAAACCTTCCATACAGAAAAACTTCCACGTTTACAATAAAGCTAAAACAGAAACTTCCTCCGGCTGACTGTGTGCAATTATGCAGCATGGCACAGGTGCAGTCAAGTAAACAGAAATACACGAAGCCCAAGAGGCACGCGTCCGTCTTACCTGCTTTTCCGTTTGCGGGGCGGTTTCTCCACTGTGCCAGTCAGTCTGCAGACCAAACACACGAGGATGGGAACTCAAGAGTGGCATCCAGGGACGAACACGGCCAGACCCGGGTGTGCCGGGCAACAGCCAAACGTCCCAGCCCCCAGAACCTTCGCTTGTGGTGCCCCTCGCTGACCTTACATGCATCTTAGCCCTGCCACCACAGGTACCGAAAGCCAGCGCTGCAGGACTCGCTGCTCTCCCAGGGTCCTTCCAGCCCGAACCCCGCTCCGCCTCCTTTCGCCACAACCCAACATCCCAAAACCCCCCAACACCCCTCGCTACTCATTGTCTACCTCTGCCACTCCTGAGCCTCTCACCCTGGCCTCCCCGTGCCTGCGCCAGCGCCCCACCCTCCCCGATTCCCCCTCTAGGCGCCCCCAGTTCCCCGGGCACCTCAGAGCCCCGCCCCTCCGGCCGGGCGCCCCCCGCATTCCACCGCCGCTCCCGCCCAGTGCCCCCCGTCCCCAGCCTCGCGCCCCCTCCTTCACACGGCCCTCGCCCGGCCTCCGGGATGCGTTCATCCCGCCCTCAGGTGCCCCAAATGTTCCCCACCGGTACTCCCTGGTCCCCGGGGCTCGGCACCCCTAAACCCCGGCGGCCCCAAAGCGTTGCCCCTGGGCCCGCGCCCGCGTCCTCGCCTCGTCCTCGGGCCCCGGGTTCCCCCGCCCCGTCCCCGCCGCACCTAGGGACCAGGCGACTTCGCGGCTGTTGGGGCTGCCGGGCTCCTCTGACCATCCGGCTCCTGCTCCGCCGCGGGAGCTGCTCCGGCGGCCGCAGGGCTCGCTCGGGAAGCTGAGGCGGCGGAGGATGGAGTAGGCGGAGAGGCGGGAGGAGAGCCTCGCGCCTCTGTCAGGCTTGCCGCGGGGCCCGCCTCCTCTGCGCCTCTTCTCGCTCCCCATTGGTGCAGCCGGAGCATGGCCGAAAGACTGACTGCCGATTGGGCGCGCGATCCGTCATCCTCGCGCTGCCAGTCCGAAGTTTGGTTGAGACTGCAGGTGGCGGCGGAGGTGCTTCTAAGCCTGCTAGCAAGGGCGGAGGAGACCTAAGCGCCATCGTGCGCCAGAAAGTGGAAACTGCATCTCCTGCGCCAGACACCTGCCTGCAGGTTCTCTTGGCTCTGCGTCCCGCATCCCAGACACCTGCTGGCGGCCTCTCCCTCACCCCCGCATCACTCCAGAACCAAAAGCCAAGGCCTGCAATTTCTCCGAATTCCTCAGGCAGGTACAATAGGAAGACAGCTCTCCCGAATGAGCTCTCTATTGAACCACCTTAAATGCAGTCCCTGGTCTACATCTTGCTGAAATGGTCTCAGCATAATGCTACTCCTTATAGAGGAAATGGTGATAAAATTTGAAGAATCCATCAAAAGAAACCATGGTTTGGCTGATCCGTCCTTTGCCGAAAAGAAGATCACAAGCTTGGATGCAGGCTTTTTTTTTTTTTTTTTTTGTCTTTTTCGTTTTTATCGGTGCCAGAGATTGAACTCACGACTGCCTGCTTGCAAGGTAGGCGCTTATGCCGCTGAGCTAAATCCCCAGCTCGGGATGCAGGCTTTTTAAATAGCAACATTTTTTTTTAATTACGATGGGGAAAAATAAACACTGCTAACAGAATGAATGTCATAACCAAAAGGAATATGTTGCATTTTGAACGACATAAACAGAATCGATTCCTGAGTGTGAACTAACCATTCTGCTATACAGCAGATTACTGTATAGCAGTAATGAATCAATTTTTTTCTACATGAATCAATTTTAAAACAAATTTCACTGCACTTTGGCAGACCCATACATGAAAAACTACCAGAATATAAATGCTTGTTATCTTTCGTCTTCTCTAATAAGAGCACTCTTGAAAATAAGGCATAGTGATTAATATAAAATTCTATCTTTAAATTAATGCGCCCTCTCCACATCTCTATTCCTATATGTAGTTACTTCAATAAATACTAGTTACCTTTCCTCTTCTCTAATACCCTTGAAAATAAGCTATAGTGCATTAATGTAAAGTTCTTTAAAGCAATATGCCCTCTCTACATCGCTATTCCTCTATTTGGCAAATCCTAAGCATGTGCTTGGACTGGGAAAGAGGCATAAAATGTTCTCATGAGCCACTTCCTTTTTATCACAGCACGTTGATGCATCAGTGTGACAGGCTATAGTAGTATACATCAACAGCATGTAGAGGACAAATTCCTCCCTGATTTCCATAAGTGACAAAATTCAAGATACTAGCCAGGCAAGGTTAATGTACCTAATACCCCAGCACTCTAGGAGGCTGAGACAGGAAGACTGAGTTCAAATCCAACTTAGGCAAATTAGCAAGGATATGTCTCAAAATAAAAAATTAAAAAGGAGCTGAGCACAGTGGCACACACCTGTAATTCCAGCACTCAGAAGGCTGAGTAAGGACCCCCATGAGTTTGAGGATAGCATGGGCTTGAAAGTGAGTTCAAGGCCAGCCTGAACCATATAGTGAAACCTTGCCTTAAAAAAAAATAAATTTAAAAATAAATAAAATAAAAAGGGTTAGGGATTTAAGATCAGTATGAAGGTCCTAGGTTCAATCCCCATTATGGGGGTGGGTAGCATTTAAAATACTAGCTTTTCATAGAGTCACATATTTGGTGTGTAAATGGTTGTCCCTTATTTTAAGACTTTTTTTTTTTTTTTTTTTTGAGACAGGATCTCACTATGCAGTTCAGGCTGAACTTGAACTTAACTTTGTAGCCCAGGCTGATCTTGAACTTCCAACAATCCTCCTGCCACAGTCTTCCGAGTGCCATAAGATAGTTCTTTTGATGCTAAAGACTTTCATTTATAAAACATATTAGTGATGGCAAACTGTGACAGAATTTTTTTTTTTTTTTTTTTTTTTGTACTGTGGACCAAATCCAGGGCCTCACACTTGCTAGATAAGCACTTTACCACTAAACAATGTATCTTCTGCCCTATCATGGGATTTTAAAAATGGTCCTGACTAGCAAAAAAAAAAAAAAAAATGGTATCAAACCTGTTTGCCCAAATATTTTATCTAATCCCACAGTCACCAAACCACAAATCACCGCGATCCTGTTTTCACCATATAATCCAAAAGAAATTATTCCAGAATAACTTGTCAAAGAGGGGGGAACTAAAACAAAAGATAGAATTGTGATGAAAAGGATCAAATCATTAGGGAAGTAATTTTGAACTCACTCATTACATTTCAAGTGCTAAACATGTCTGCCAAATTTCCACTGTTTCCCATAATCAGTCAGTCTCTCTGATACATGGTAGACACTGTCACTCTGCCAACAGAACTGCAGGGATTGTTTTGTGGTACTGGAATCCAGGCCTATACACTGAATACATCCACACTGTATTTTATATTTTGCATTTTCTTTATATTGGTACCAGGGATCAAACTCACGACTGCCTGCTTGCAAGGCAGGCACTTATGCCACTGAGCTAAATCCCCAGCCCCGTTATATTTTGAACTAAGGTCTTGCTAAATTTCTAAACTGCTCAGGCTGGTCTCAAACTTACAATCCTCCTGCCTCAGCATTCCAGAATGCTGGAATCAGAGTTGTGACCTTGGCTATTCTTTTTTTTTTTTTTGTCTTTTTCATTTTTTTATCGGTACCAGGGATCGAACTCACGACCACCTGCTTGCAAGGCAGGTGCTTATGCCACTGAGCTAAATCCCCAGCCTCTATTCATTCTTATACAGTATCTTTCCAAAGCCAAGTCTTTTCATGTTCTGCCCAAATTCTAGTAATGTTTCTGCACTTTTACTTTGTAAAACATGTATAACCTATCATGCCAAGCCACGTTTCACTCATCTCTTTAAGTCTTTCCCCAGTAACTCTCCTCCAAATATTCCCTTCTCCAAATCAGTTGTACTAGTCAACAATTAGGGTTGACTTTAGACTACTCTCACTTGCCAATCACACTTAAGCAGTGTGAATCCTCAATAAATGGCACCATTGAGTAGGTACTGGGTACTTGGTATATTAATTTTTATGCTTAGTTCAAGCCTATGTGGTATTCTCTTATTTTAGACACAGGAATTTAAGATTCAGAGACTACTATTTGCTCAGGGCCACACAGTTACAAAAACCAACATTGCTTAAAATAGAAGGCTTAAGTTACTCTGTGCGGCACAAGCATCTGCCTGGCAAGCGCGAGGTCCTGAGTTCAATTCCTGGTACCAAAAAAAAAAAAAGTTAATTCTGTGTGCACAGTAGAAGTTCCAGTTCCAGCTCTTCTGTGTAACTGTAGATATGTTACTTATCCTCTTTATGCCTATTTACTCATCTGGGATAAGGAGAAAGAAAAAAAGGTCAGGGCTAAGGATTTAGCTCAGTGACGTAAGTGCCTGCCTGGCAAGCGCAAGGTCGTAAGTCTGATCACTGGTACAGGAAAAAAAAAAAAAAAAATGAAAAGGCCATATAATTTGAGGCCCTGTTAGAATAGAGAGGGCCTGGAAAGCATTTAGCTGCTTAACCAAGGAATCTTTTCTATCCCCCCCCCTTTTTTTTTTTTTTTTTTAAGTCTTCCTAGATTGCTGGGTCAAACTGGTGATTCTCCTGTCTCAGACTTCCAAAGCACCGGAATGACAGGTATGAGTCACCACACCTGGCTCCACTGCTTTTTTTTTTTGTCTTTTTTATCGGTACCAGGGATCGAATTCATGGCTGCCTGCTTGCAGGCACTTATGCTGCTGAGCTAAAGCCCCTTCCACTGTCATTTTTTATGGGGTGGGGATACTGGGGAGCAAACCCAAGGGTACTTTACCATACAGCTACATCATCAGCCTTTTAAAAAAATTTCTTTTTTTAATTTTATGCTGGTCTTGCTAAATTGCCCAGGCTGGTCTGAAACTTGAGGTCCATCTGCCTGTTTCCCAAGTTACTCATGTCTACAGGCATGCACTATGATACCCAGCTCCCACTGTTATTTACACATAAAAATCAAAGTTCTGAGGACCATAGTAGGTGCCCAGGGAGTGAGTGGAACACATACTTGGTAATAATTTTTGTTGTTGACACATACGAAAGAAATCTAGAACTTCATGCATTTCTAAAGAAAACATGAATAAGCCAGATTGTTTCCTGTCATGAGGGAAAGAACAGTACATATTTATCAAATGATTAACATGGAAACAGAAAACAAACAGGGAATTTAATATGTTGTCATCATATTAGGGGACTCCTCAAATGTTTCTTTTTCACTTTTTATTACTATATGATTCATCAGCATTACTACGCACTGTACATACACCACTGAATGAGTTGTGATGATCTCACAAAGCAGGGTTCTGGGCGCAGAGCCCAGGTCAATAGCTGTTGCTTTTATGGAACTGGAATACTCGGCCCAGAGTCAAATGCATAACAAAAATAGAGTTTCACTTTTGTTTATCAGTCAAGCAACCACGTGAAGGAATAAGCATTTTTTAATCTTTGTTTTACAAAATGCTAACTTCTTGTCAGGACGTGCTACAGACTATGCATTAGATAAAATTATTTTTGACAAACTTCCTATAATCTTTTTATTAATTTACAGAGGGAATATAGCACCTTTCATCCAAAGAACTGAAGGTGCTTTACAAACATTAGCATTTAAAAAACAATTACATTTAAAAATCTGGATTCTTGCTGTTAAATCTCTTTGACAGTTTTCTGGAAGCTGACAGAAAGCGAATCTATTTCCAACAATGACAGAGGCTCAGAAAGAGTCCTGATTTACTTTCACAATATAGGCATTTTCCAAAACCTGGTGCTGGGTTTACAAAACAAAACGCACACACACACACATCTCAATGCAATAAACAATATTTTGAACCTTACTTCAAAAGAAAAACTCAAGGTTTAAGACGTCAAAATCTTCCAACAGTTCTAGACATCCAGATGGAATAGGAGCTGATTGGCGCAGGTTGCATATTAGATGCACTCTTGATCCAGGCTTGGCAGGATCACACGCAATGACCACATTTAGAGAAGTGTAATTCTGTCAAGGCGATACAGTAACCTACAAAAGCTAGCCAAGAGCAATTCAGCCAAGTAAGGAAAGGGAGTAAATGGCAATTCAAAGTAGACAGTCCTCACTACAGCCTAGGATACTTCATTAGAAACCAAGTGTATCATAGGCAAATAAAAATACTTCTTACCCCCATTAATACAACGTGAGAATTTACATTCAGCCTAGATATAGGGATTAACAGATCCTCCTGCCTACAAATCTATGACTTGCAAGTATGTCCCAACACATGATCACTCTATATAATACATAGCCCTTATTTGTTACAGGGATCCAAATATTCCTTTTAAGCTTACAAAGTCCAATACATTCTCTCTCTCTTCCCTTTATATGTCTACTAGTAAAAACTATTTTCTTCCCATGCAAAAAGCCATTATTCAGTTGGAGAGAAATCAACCGAAACAGAGATGGCAGTAAGGAATGGACAGATTATTGGCACATGCCCACTTAGTGACAAACAAATGCAGTCTGATATAACTTTAAAAAAAAAAGTCACATTGTAAGGAGAATGAAAACACTCTATTAACCTAAGCAAAGGAGTATCAAATGGAAAGAGAGGCCTCAGGGTTACTGGTTTATTGGTACTACTCAAAAGTAATGAAGAGCAAGCACTTAAAATACAATTTATAGTAATAGAAAAACAAATACTGCAAAAAGCTGTTCCACGACCACACCAAGTTGGCTGCGTCATTAGTTTCCAGTGTTTCACAAGTAGTAAGATACATAGTTACATGCCGGGTGTGGTGTTTCATGCCTGTAATCCCAGCACTTGGGAGGCTGAGGCAGGAGGATCGTTGCGAGTTCGAGACCAGCCTAGGCTACAAAGTGAGCTCAAGGCCAGCTGAATTGCACAGCGAGACCCTGTCTCAAAAAGATAAAATAAAATAAAATAAAAGATACATAGCTATATATCCCTGTGAGATAAAAGTATCTTCCCACCTGAATTACCCTGGGGTCAGGGCAATAACACAGAGCTACAGAACCAACATTAGTTCAAGTGTGTGCAGCAAGTATTTCAGCTGCTTCTTTCACATAGCTATACAATTAAAAGCTGTACAAGAAGCTGAGTGATTGGGGAAAAATAAAATCAAAACAGTATTGTGCTCATTCAGTAAAAGAAAACCCTGATGAAAAATTATGTGCCAAGAAGCTTATACTATAAAGATTTTTATTGCATTTTTAGGTAACCTGGAAATTTTTATCCTGAAGGGGAAAAGTTGGTTTTCAAAACTACCTGAAGAAATGCTAAAGTGCTTTATTAACTGGCTGGCTTTACATGGATTTCCTGGGATGACAAAAATTAATCATACTTGTAAAGGGACACCAACTATTTCACAAAATGATACACTCCAACATCATTTATGAACACAGCCATAAGAGATACTGGAACACTTGTCCTTATTAAAGTGGACAATTGCATATCAAGAACTGATCATCACAACCCTTTGGATATTTGAATTACACAAAACTAAAGTAGGGTATCACAGACTTTTACAAAAAAAGAAGTCTGTTTCGTTCTATGCTTTAAATAATCTGCTTCAGATTATAGTTCACAAATACAAGTCCTGGCTTTTCAACCTTTCCAGTTGCAGCTAAAAAATGAACACTTCCTAAAAGTTAAGGTCAAGTGTTACAGCAAGAAAAGAATGACTCCTATTGAAAAGTACATATATTTTTACTTAGTGATATTCATGATATCGATTGTAAACTGGATCAATCACATTCTACTCAACTGGTATCAAATGAACAATTAGCATTTTAAGTATTAAATATTTTTTTCTATTACTACAGAGGATATAAACCAAAACATTAATATGGCAGTTACGTTCTTTAGGCACAGTTCTGTAATTTTTTTTAAAAATAAATACTATTGGATTTCAATTAAAGTTTTAAACTCAATAAAGGAAAAACAATAAACTCAAGAACGAAAGGGTCCAGAATGCTGATTAGGAAAGAAAAAGAAAAAAGAGTAACTTTAAGATAACAATGTAAGCTGTTTAAAAGTTCTAACACTTAACCTATCTGGGTTTTAAGATTATTTTATTAAAAAATACAAGGAATCTGAAAAAAGATCAATACAATTTTCATAATGTACAAAGTCATAAGCTGTAGCAGTTTTTAACTAAATTTAAAAACACAACAAGGAGGGCAGCCCTTTAGACCAATTTATTTTATATCCTTTTAAAATATCATCCAACAAAGGACAATGAAGTTTACAGCTGGGACAGGTATACATAACTCAGGCATCTCTAGTCCATCGTGCCCACAGAATAACAACTTTGCTGCTGAAATTTCTTAAAACATACCAAACTAAAACAAAAGGCTGAATGATACAAAAGGAAGAGTATTTTGGTGTAAATTTCAATTGGCTTTTTTTAAAAAGGAAACACATTCTGTTTCCCCAGACCAGTAAATAAGAGCTACATGCAGCAGTGTGAATATTAAGACATTTCTCAAGTCTTCTCAAATGAGTCCAAGGTGGGGATGGGATAGGGAAGGAAACTGATAGAAAAACATTGCTATAGACACCATGACAAACAATAAATTTAGATAATTTAAAAATTAAAAAAAAAAGGCAAGAGGCAGCATTTCAGCAGCAAAGTGCTCAATAAAAAGTATATCATAGAGGGTACAAGAAAGTTGGGATAAGAAGAGGGCAGAAAAATGGGTCAGCAGGATGGGCGAAGGCCTCAAAGGAAATACGGCGTCGTCGTTCTTGGAGGAATAACACGTTCTGAATCTGGAACTGCCCGGAATAACTTTGGTTCTCTTGTATTCACATCTTTGAAGACCATGATGGAAGCAATATTTCCACAACGATAGCAGTAGTTAGGAGCAGACCATACTGTGACCAGCTTCTCATCAAACATAAACTTATAGCCTTCATGCACAAGCTGATGTGCTCTGCAGATGAGTTTCAAATTGTTGATATGAACAAACTGCAATTTAGAAAGGCTTTGTAAGTATTCAGCAGATTTTTAAATAACCCATATAGATAAAAAAAAAACATTTAAATAAAGTATCAAATCCTGTTATTACTAAATTTCTCATGATTTTAGAACCTATTCTACAATTATCTCCAATAATTTCAGTAAGTCTGGCAAACACAGTCGCTTTGGGCCAGGTCAATTAGAAAGCTACAGAAACTGTACGTGGTGGTGCACACCTGTAATCCTAGCACTCAGGAGGTTGAGGCAGGAGATCACTGTGAGTTCGAGGCCAGCTTGGACTACGTAGTGAGACCCTGTTTCAAAAAGCCAAAACTAAACTAAACTGAAAGAGAGAGAGTAACAATAAGGAGAATATGGGAGGGGGAAGGAAAGGGAAAGGAAGGGAAGAAAGTTACAGACAGAGATTGCTTTTAGAAGAAAACCATTCCATTCCAAAAGTACCATCAGATATTAAACACTTTTATCTTTTATGGATTAATAAAGATACTGCTATCAATATAATTTATTAAGGATTTAGTATGTGCAGGTCTTAAACGATAATTCTGAAAGAGACTTACTGTTCTTTGCAACTTAAAGATAAGATGGCTCTGATTGAATAACTAACTTACCAGAGTTACAACAATGGGACTTAGAGCCTAGCTGTCTGATTTCACTATGCTGGAGCATTTCCCAGTATAATGGAAGCCCTTTGTACCTGAACACTGGTTTTTGTTTTGTTTTCTGTTTTATGGTTGAAGATCAAACCCTGGGCAGGTGCTTTACCACTGAGCTATCACTCCAACTTTGTATATATACTTAATTCAACATAATTGAAGTTTAAAAGTTGCCTAATCTAGCCTACTGAGGTACTACACACCTGTAATTCTCAACTACTTGAGAGACTGAGGCAGGAGGATCACAAGTTTTTGGCCAACCTGGGCAACAGTGAAACCTTGTCTCAAGAAAAAACAAAATTTTTTTTGAGGTAATATGGATTGAACCCAGGGCCTTTGTAGTCAGCCGTACCCCCAACCCATTTCAGTTTTGTTTGAGACAGGATCGGGCTAAATGGCTAAGTTGCCCAGTCTGGGCCTGAACTTATGATTATCTGCCTCAGCCTTCCAGAGATTATAGCCATGTGCTTACTACACCCGGACTGTTACCTTTTCTTTTCTTCTTTTGCAAGAGATGAAACCCAGAGTCTCATGTGTGTCCTATCACTGAGCCACCCCTCCCCAAACCACTATCTTGTTATTTACCTGTTATGTTATTCAAATAACCAAGTGGATGCTAGAGTATGGACTTTTACTATATGATCTCATTTAACCATTAGGAAAGGACATAAATAAACTGAACTAGAAATTTGAAATCCACAGGCTTCATGGTGTTATGAAACTACACTAAAAAGTTTGTTACTTGAGAACACCAATGTAAGTCTTTTTTTTTTTTTTTTTTTTGGTCTTTTTCCTTTTTATCGGTACCAGGGATCGAACTCACGATTGCCTGCTTCCAAAGCAGGTGCTTATGCCGCTGAGCTAAATCCCCAGCCCCCCCCATGTAAGTCTTTTATCAACCAACAAACTACCTTCCCCAAAGTATCAATTTACCTCATTTGTGACCTTTGCTCCAAAAAGCCAACCAGCTCCTCGAGGACTGATTGCCCAAGTATCCACATCTTCAGGATCTGACCAAACCAGGTCACAAAATGCTCCTTTATGAGGAATTTCTTGGTTCCGTTCAATGGTTCGAATTTGATCCAGTGTTTTGATATCAGGAGATAAACCACCATGAACACACAAAATCTGCTCATCTATTAACTAGCAAAAAAAAAAAAAAGATAATAAAAATTGAATGTATAATAACAAACTCAGCCATTTCTAAATTCATTAATGAATGCTAATGATAACAATACAATTGAAATGACAACTAGATAAAAGAATGTAGTGTGTTATAGGCAGGATAATATTTAAAAGTTTTTGGTTTTGGTACCAGGAATCAAACTCAGGACCTTGCATTTGCCAGGCCTGAGCTATATCCCCAGCCCCCTAAAAATTTCGGGAAGGTTCATATAAACTTACAGCTGCTACAGTGAGCATATCAAAAACTTTGGTACAGTATCTCCAAGCATTAGCATTTCCATATTTGGTTTGGCACTCATCTGCGAAAGAAATGGAAGTGTTTTTATTAATGAAATTCTGAATTTGCCAACCAAAACAAATAAATCCAGTATGAAAATAGCTTTCAATTCAACAGAAATTCAGTTTAAACTAGAACAGAAAATTATGACACATATCTAGGCCTAACAGGCCCTTCATTTAAAGCCAAAAGAAGTCTAATATCTAAATATATCCCTTTTCATTGCAAGAAATTGCTGAAATTACCTGTAAAAATGCACTTAGCAGAAAGAGTTAACTACCAATTTCAAATAAACTGAAGCAAGTGCTTTTAGTAGTTAATGTTAATACTAGTCAATTTTACCAAACATTCATTTACTTATTGGGGGATGGGAAGATACTAGGAATCAAACTCAGGGCCATGCACTTGCCAGGCAGGTGTTACGCTACTGAGCTACATCACCTGGTCCTCACTTATTTATTAATGTGACTGCCATATTTCAACAGAAAAATAAAATCAAACATAATAGGACCCTTAATTACAGGAGCATGAGCAATTTCTATCTCAACGTTTCTCAGTCCTCAATTATGTACTCTGAGATTTTCTGCAAATTGTGTCACTAAATACTACATATAAAATATGTGAATAGAAAATAACATCTAAATAAAAACCCTAGTTATGCTCCTACCACCTTGTTTTGAAGGCTTATATTGTCAGTGTTTTGGGTTCTTTGCTATTGCTATTTATTTGCCTTTTTTGTTTCGTGTTTTTCTAGGAATTTGTTTTGTTTTTCCCTCTAATACAGAAACAACAGGTATACATGTAGAGACTCATACATGCATAGAACTTCTACTAAACAGTTTATGAGCATCAATTACATAATGCATGATGAAACGAGTATCTACTTTGAAGAAAAAGACACACTATAGTATCCAGTGCTGATTCTGTAGCGTTATGCTGTGAAATCCAGCAATACTATTATTCTTTGTTCAGAATGATTTTAGTCGTTTTGTATTGTTTAATTTCAATACAAATGAAGGTATGGACAACAATTCTGATGAAAATGAGACAATATGGCAGCCATTATTATTTCCCTATTGTCTGGTTTTGAAGGCCTAAAATAGCTTCATCATTCTGTTCTGATCAGTTCAATACTATTTTGTTTTGTATGAATTCATTGTGTGTGTTAGAAGGAAACAGACAATATGATAGACAGTGATGATCTCTTGTTGTCTTGCTTTGAAATCTGTGTCACATTATTTTCTTCTGATCTGCTTTGTTCTGTTTTTGTTTTTCGTATTTTTTTAAATTGGTACTGGGGATCCAAATCACGACCGCCTGCTTGCAAGGCAGGTGCTTATTGCCACTGAGCTAAATCCCCAGTCCCTGTTCTGTTTTTTTTTTTTTTTTTATATTTAGCTTTATTCTCTTTAAAATAAATTTTAAAAAAATATATATACATATATTTGAGTATCACTAATCAAAACATCTGAAATCTGAGATGCTTTAACATGTCTGAGCATTGAGATGATATCCCAAGTGGAATATTCCACACCTGACCTCATCAAAATACACACACACATTAAAAACACATGCTGCTTATCTCTTATCAGAAATGTTTACAAGGCTAAAGCAGGAGGATCATAAATTCAAAGATTTATGGGCTACTAAGCTAGTGGATACTACATAGCAAGACTCTCTCAAAAATCAAAAAGACAAATGAAATACTTGGGACTAGAAGTATTTGGAGTTTGGAATGTTTCCATAGATTTACTAGTTGAGCTTACTTAAACTTAAAATCTAAAATCCAGAACACTCACAAATCTAAAACTTCTGAGTGTCAAAAATGCCTCAAAATCCAAAGCTTTTGAAGTGTTATGATGGCACTCAAGCCTCAGATTTTTGGAGCTGATGATTCTGAGTATCAGATTTTCAGATAAAGGCTGCTTGACCTCTACTATATAAAACTACTTTAGGCTAGGTACACAAAGAATATGTGAAACATCAATGAATTCTGTGATTTGCATCTCATCTGCAAAACATATAAATAGTCCAAAATTCAAAAAAATTCAAAATCCAAAATAATTTCTCGTCTCAAGTATTTTGGACAAGGGATACTTGACCTGAAAAATATCGTATTATGCATGAATTTTATATGTGTTACAATATTAGTCTTAAAAAATTACATTTTATGTAACATTGTATTATAGATATAATAGCCATATACAGTAATACACTGCCAACACCTCAATCAGTGACAGACTACATATATAACAGAATTCCTATAATATTACATTACCATCTGAGTCCATAGCCCTCTTAATTTGTATAATTACTCCCTATGATGTGCACAAAACAAAATCACCTGATGACGCATTTCTCAGAATTTATGCTGAGAACATACTAATGTCACTTTACTGAGCAAATACCACAGTATACTATGAAAAATATTATTTTGTAACAGAACGTATAGTTTTTTGTGAATAAAACATCAAAAGTAACCTGTAGCCTGGACGTTGTGGCATGTACCTATAATCCTAGCACTCTGGAAGACTGAGGCAGGAGGACCACTGCAAGTTCGAGGCCAGACTGAGGTACCAATTGAGTTTAAGGCCAGCCTGACCTAAATAATGAGATCTGTCTCTAAATAAATAAATACATAAATTTGAAAAAATAAAGCAACTTAAAAACAATTCAAAAGGGACTGGTTAAATCAATCCTGGTACATTCATACAGTATAATGAACACTACACAGCCATAAAAATATTAACACCCAGGGGAAAATAAATAAATAACATCCAGAGGCTAGGGATAATAGCTCAGCAGCACAGCACCCATCCAGCCAGCGCAAGGTTCTGAGTTTGATTCCTGGTACCAAAAATAACACAACATCACAACATATCACATCCAGAGAGTGAAAAGACGAGACCTGACATTACATTTCACGTGGGTATATATATATGTACACACACGCAGGCTGAAATGAGCATTCGAACTTAAAAGTGCAGTGCATTCACCTTTGGTAGATCCTATTGTCCCACCCTAAAAGATTCTGATTACACAGTCTGAGGTAAGGCCCAGCAATCCGCATTTTGAATAAACACCTTGTGATTCCAATTTTGCAAGAACAGATTTACACTTTGCCACACTGATTTAGAAAGATACACACCAAAAAGTTGACAATGGTCTTCTCTCTATATAGCAAGATTTTCAGCTGATGGAGGAAGTAGACAAGTTAAAGAGTAGTCAAGTAGGGAAAAAAATATATAAAGTATAGGTATGAATTGCGCATATTTTTTCTAAAAGGAAAAAATAAATAATATTCAGAAATATTATTCTGAATAAATAATATTCAGAATCAGAAATAGAAAATCTTAGCTGGGAGTCGTAGTGCACACCTGTAATCCTTGCACTCCAGAGACAGAGGCAGGAAGATCACCATGAGTTCAAGGCCAGCCTGAATTACACAGTAAGTCCAGGGTCAGTCTGAACTACATAGTGTAGTGAGACCCTGTCTCAAAAAACGAACAAAGAAACAGATCTTACCATAAAATCCATACACCTGTGTTATTTGTCTACTTTCATGATTTCCTCGTAAAAGTGTAATACGGTCAGGCCATTTAGCCTTTAGGGCAAGAAGATATGTGAAGGTCTCCAAACTATAGTAACCTCTGTCTACAAAATCACCCTGTAAAGCAAAAGTTTACAGTTACAAACAATACAATAGGTACCATAATATTGTAAACTAATAAAGTAGATAATTTCAGAGACACAGCCATAATAATGTAGACTCACACATTAAATTACTGTACATATAAACTGAATTTTAACAGAAACTCAAATGGAACTGGCTGTGGTGGTATATACCTGTAATCCCAGAACTCCAGAACACTGAAGCAGGAGACTTTGGAGTTTACGTTTAGTCTGAGCAATTTAATGACACTTTCTCTTTAAACAGCTGAGGATGTAGCTCAATGTAAGAGCCCTAGGCTGAATCCCCAGTTCCCAATGGAAAAACAAATCAAAACAAAAAACAAATACCACAAATGAAAATAAACTTTCTACTAAATCTGTGCTTCACTTACGATTCAGAAGAGGCCTACAAGAATCCACCATGTAATTCTGCCAAATATTTCTCCCTAAAATTATTTTTCAATCTTCTACTATCTACATTATATGTTAAATAAAAGGTTTAGTACTATGATTGAGACCTGTGTAGAGATAAATCCCCAACTGCCCACAACATGCTTATGAGACAGGGTCTCACTTAACTTCTAAATTACTGAGTTACCCAGACTAGGGCCAAACTTGAGATTCTTCGGCCTTAGCCTTCCACAGGGTTGGTATTACAAGTGTATAACAAGCCTGTCTCGATATTTTTTTAGAAATTCTCCATTTATTGAGCTCTTTTTGTGGGCCAGGACTGTAAGCTCTTTTGCAAATATCACTGCACCTGATCATCACAAACCCCACTAAGGTTTTTTTTTTTCTGGTGCTGGGAATTGAACTCAAGACCTTGCACTTGCCAGGTAGGCACTTATGCCACTCAGCTAAGTCCCCAGCCCTCAACTATTTTTAATTTAAATTTAAAATTTTTAATTAAAGCAGAAGAACTGCCTCATTAAAAATACGGTTTTTTGGTACCAAAGAAAACAAAAGCAAAAACAACAACAAAAATACGGTTTTTGGGGGGCTGGGGATTTAGCTCAGCGGCATAAGCGCCTGCCTTGCAAGAAGGCAGTCGTGAGTTTGATCCCCGGTACCGATAAAAAGGAAAAAGACAAAAAAAAAAGGGAGTTTTCCCAATAAAACAAGTATAATTATAACTGTTTTAGATTAAGTTTTGTATTTAACAACTGCATATAGTAACATGCTATTTTCTATAAGTTTGATGTAGGTCCGTATTATGCCAATAGGCAAACAGTTAAAAGAATAGGAAGGCAGCTCAAATATTCAGAAGAAATAATCACAAAAGGATTCCAAAATAGTTCAAGAGTAGTATCACACTCCAAAAGGGAAAGAAACACTCACCATAACAGTAAGTGTATATTAGGAAAATGTGTAAGAAGTGTGTAAAATAACAGTAACTTGAAGATTTATGCCTCAAACTAGTGGTCCTATGCTGTTTTTCTGACAGCTACTAATAGCTGCAACCCAGGTCTATTGGAACCTGGTAGTTTATTTAACCTATCATAGATGTGGCAAAATGTAGAGAAGTATAGAATTATTTTTCCATATATATATTTTTTTTGGGGGGGGGGGTCTTTTTCATTTTTATTGGTACCAGGGATCGAACTCACAACCACCTGCTTGCAAGGCAGGTGCTTATGCTGCTGAGCTAAACCTCCAGCCCCTCTATATATTTAAACACAAATTATCACATGCTAATGAAATTATCACTCAATTTATATGAAATAACTCAGACTTTCGATTTTAAATACACACTTGATATTCTTGGTGTTTACATACCATAAATATGTAGTTTGTGTCAGGAACCTGACCTCCAGTTCTGAATAGTTCACAAAGGTCATAAAACTATAAAACAAAGATAATATATGTTGATTACAACTTCCTGTTCAGGGTCAAAATAATAAGTGAGTGAAATGTGTAAAGAATCAGTGTTAAGAGGACTCCAAATACTTAAATTTGTAACTAAAGCATATGCAAAACTGCTAAACACATAATTCCTTGGAAAAGCACTAAACAAGCTCATCAATACCACAGTCATTCCTCCATCATTAATTATAAGCCCTTCCCTCCAAAATATCTTCCCATTTTCCTTGAGAATTTTGAAACAATTGACTATATCAGTCGTCTAACTTAATAGGATAACATAAGCACCCCACCCATATTCAGCATTTTTTTTTTTTTGTGACAGGGTCTTACTAGGTAGTACCGGCTGGCCTTGAACTCACAGCAATCCTCCTGTCTCAGTCTCCTGAGTGCTGGAATTACAGGCATATGCCATCATGCCTGGCTTCAGCAACCATTCTAATGAGACAAAAGACAAAGAAACAAGTGGCAAGAATTTTTTTCAAGCCAGGAGTGTGATGGCACACACCTGTTCCCAGCATTTGGGAGGCTGAGTCTAGAGGATTGTTGCAAGTTCAAGACCAGCCTGGACTACAAAGTGAGCCCAAGCCCAACCTGAACACATAGGCCCCATCTCAAAAAGACAAAAAAGAAAAACAAACAATAAAAAGCTCTAGCCCAGTAGTTCTATTTCTGTGACCATATCTTAAAGGGGGGGTGGTGCTGTTTTCAAATGTGGCACAGGGGCCAGGGATATAGCTCAGTGACACAGTACCTGTCCATTAAGTGCAAGATTTTGAGTTTGATCCCCAGTATCCCACCCCCCAAAAAATGGTATCACATCATTTATAACAAAAGAAATAACCCTCATGATTAATCGCAAACAGTGACCTACCAACTCAAGACTTTATACATTTGTGAATAATAATTATGATGAAAACTATGCAGCAAAAGGGAAAATAAGTTTTATGGTACACAAAACTAACATAACCACACAATTTTACTATGTAAAACAAGTGAGTATAGAACCAAGCATAGTGGTACATGCCTGTAATCCCAGCACTCTGCCGAGACAGGAGATTTCTAGTCCAATGACAGCCTGGGGTAAAAGTTCCAGGCTGACCTTGAGTACATGGTGAGCCTCTGTCTCAAAACACCAAATCAATGGTGGCGCATGCCTGCAATCCCAGCAAACTACCATGAATTCAAGGCTGGCTTGGGCTATATAGTGAATTCAAGACCAGCCAACACTACATAGCAAGACCCTATCTCAAAAAGAAAAGAAAAGAAAAATTCACCAGCATCTCTTATACCTCAAGTGAATTATCATTAACATTGGTCATTTGGAAAGTTGACATGATTATTTGCTTATGTATACTGAAAAACTCCTATTGATTAACATCACTAGCATCAGAAAAATGAAAGTATCAAAAACTGTCACATGGCAGTGGGACTCAAAGTTTCAAAAATTATAATTTTTCATTCATAAATTGAAATAATAGTACTTTCAACAAATACCATTGTTATCTTTGAAATAACTATCTATTTCCTGCACTTCTGTAAAAATGGTTGTCAACTAGTCAAATCAGCATAACCACAGTTATCATCCATTGTCTCAAATAAAATACTGTTTATTAAGAAAAAAGGGCTGGAAAAGGTAGCAAGCCACAAGGCAACCAACATGTACAAGTTTAGCTTGCACACGAAGTACTAAACAATCATATATGGAGACAAAATTTTGAGTCACAGTCACTGAGTACCAAATTCAAAGACTTTCATACCAGTACCAAAGTATGACTAGAAAGTATATGGAAGATTCATACAAAAAATGTCTACAGACTAGTGAGAGAAGGATCAACCAAAGGAAATCAGTACAAGATTATAAAGGACAATTCACAAATGTAGGAATCCAGAGCTAAAAAAAACAGGAATCCTTACTAATCAGGAAAATGAAAATTATATTTTAAAACAAGATACCACTTCATGCCCTGTACTGATGACATTTTAGTAATTTGTCCACATACTACATAGGGTGAGATGAAGAGTTCTGTGAACTCTCATACATTTCTGTTGGGAATATTAACTGTTACAGCTCTGAAAGCCATCATATGATATATCCCTACAAGTGAAGGTGACCAAACTTAATGGCCTAGATAGATATGCACAGGAAATTCTCACATATGTACGCAGGATAATGTATGCACAAATGTTCTTGCAACTCTGAAACAGAAAAAAAGTGCTAAAAATTAAATAAATAAGCAAGCAGCTACATTAGCTCATGACTCAAAAAGGTACATACTTTTCCTTGAGTAAATCATTTTTCCTCAGTGTACAACAAATATGTGCTATGTATGTATACAATATTTCTCATTCTATTACACAAAAGTGGTACCAACAGTCTTACCCTCTACTGCTTTTTTTCTTTTCTTTTCTTTTTTTTTTTTTTTTTTGCCACCTGTGGGGTCTGTGGGCTCACCTGTGTGCTTGCTGAAGGGCGGTATATGAGCTCCTCCTGCCTAGATAACACTGTTTCCCTGCTCCTCAGCACTGCATACTCACCAATTTGTCCATTCATACACAAAACTGAATCTTCCCAAGGGAAAGAACTGTGCAAATTCCAAAGCATTTCTCTTACATTTGATTTAATCAGTCCCATGGCCCGGATTAACAATTATTTTTACGAGCCATGTATAAGAGAAACAATGTTTACAGTTGGGTAATAGTTTTAAATTAACATGTGCAAAAGGAACCCAAATGAATTTCAAATTTCAATTCTGTGTTTTAGTGGCAATTTAAGTTTGGGGTAATTCTTTAGTTTGTTAATCTCATTCTTTACAAAATGATTTTTTCTTACAGGATGCTCAAAACAATTTGACAGAAAATATGTGAAAAGTTGCATTATTCAAAAAAAAAAAAAGAAAAAAGAAAAGTTGCATTATTGACAACATAAATATTAAGAATTGTACACTATATTGAAGATATATAATATGGAAATATTTGAGGCTGTCTTTTGACTGTCTCTGACTTTAATTCATACATTGAAAAGTCCTTGGTAACACAAGTAACCTCTAAATTTTAATTTTAAAAACAGGAAATACACTACTCATATACCTATACTTATGGTAGCAAAACATAAATGTTCATTATAGGGGCTGGGGATTTAGCTCAACGGCATAAGCACCTGCCTTGCAAGCAGGCGGTCATGAGTTCGATCCCCGGTACTAAAAAATGTTTATTATGGTTTTGGAGAGAAGTGTTATGTACACTTAAAAAGAGAGACAGAACTTTTTTTTTTTTTTTGTCTTTTTTGTTTTTATCAGTACCAGGGATTGAACTCACAACTGCCTGCCTGCAAGGTAGGCGCTCATGCCGTTGAGCTAAATCCCCAGCCCCGAGAGACAAAACTTTAATAGGTAAAAGACGACATAATGGGGCCTCCACTTAACAGCAAATGATGTGCAGAAGTCAGATTTATTATAACCTCACCATCCAGAAATAAGCAGAGTGGGGAGCAGAAAAAAACCATTGTTATGTAGGCAAAACAGGACTTTATTAATGAAGCTGTCCCCATCAAGGCCAATATAGATACATTTCTGCTCTGTTACATACTCATCTTCAAGGCAAAGAAATCACAAAGTATTTAAGACCACTGACTCTCTAAATACTTCATTGCTCACAATGTATTCTTGCCATATGGCCCTAACTACATCGCACCCAAAGAGTAGACTATGAATGCTCTCTTCAGCTTTTATTCCAAGTGGAAAACATTCTACAAATACACATAAGGTTCCCAACTAAGTAAACCCTGAGAGTAGAGTCTAATAGTAAGGTGCACTCTTCCTGTGCCTGCTTGGAAATTCTTTGTTTTTTTTGACAGTCTCAGTATGCAGTTCAGGATCGCCTTAAACTCACTATGTGGCCCAGGCTTGAACTCATGGCTATTCTCCAGCTGAAGTCTCTCAAGTGCTGAGATTACAGGTGTGCACCACCACACCCAGCTGGAAATTCTTATAAACAAACAAAATCTCAGCAGATAAAAATATGAGCTAACTTTTTTTATCTTATTATTTCAGTGACTGCCATGAAACTATGCAAAATTTTACTTTTTGGAGATCTTTGTTATTCTCAATTTCCCAGAAGAAATGAAAAAATTTCAGCAATATATGACATGAATAAACCATACAGAAATGAGTAGAATGAACAGAATAAAAGTATTTAAAACCAAATTTAACAAGCCAGAGAGCTAATCAGATTCCAGGAGCCTACATGCAACAAGGTCTCAATAAAAGTAGCTGACAAGAAACTCATGAATATTTCACTTTCAAATACCCCCTACTTGTCCAAAGTAGCTCTCTGTCATCTCTCTCCCTCCTTTCCCTTACCTTAAAATAAATCATTTTCTTTTATTAAAAAAATCCTACTAATCAGAATTACTATCTTCCACCACTAACAAAATCCCTCCCCATTCCATAAAATAGTAATTTAGCATCCTACTCGCTGCACAAGTGTAATTTCAACAAACTCCATAAATAATTTGATCACCACTTTTACTCACTAAAATAGTAAACCAGGAATCATTAGTATTACAAAAATGGAGGCAACTTAATTAGGTATATTTATCTGCTGTCATTCTTTTAATTCTGCAGCACAAGTAGAAACAAAGCCTGTGGAAAGTATAGAACCTATAAACCCTTTATGAAATGTTACCTGTCCATGTATGTCCCCACATACTGTCACTGGGGTTGACACTGGCTGAACATTGGATTCCTCCAAGAGAAGATCACAAACATAGTCACACAGCCGCTGAAAGAAGAAAAAATAAACATAAATTTTTACTATAAAATTAAAGTTCAGGGCCAAATACAAAAAACATTCAACACAAAGACATAGTCAGAAAGATCAAGAGTTAGGAACAACACGAAGGATTTTGGTAACAAAAACAAAGACAAAAAAACGAGGGATTCTGGTGATGGAACTGCCATGTATCTGGGACACAGGGCAGGATACATGAGCCCACAAATGTAAAAAAATTACATTAAACTAAAAATTTAATTCCAAAATCATAAATCTAAGGCATGCGTGGAGGCACGCAACTGTAACCCCAGCTCTTGGGAGGCTGAGACAGGAGGATCACTGCAAGTTTGAGACCTGTCTGGGTTACAAAATGAGCTCAAGGCCAGCCTGAACTGTAAAGCAAGACTCTATCTCAAAAAGATCAAACTTACATATATATTTGCAAATATGAACTGCAAACATGAATATATCTGAACAAGATTATGAATTGTATCAGTATCAACATCCAGGCTGTGGTATTCTATTAGGATAATATAAACTGTTACTAGTGTAGGAAACTGGGTAAATGACACGTGGAATCTCTCAATATTTTTCTACAACTGCACATAAATACACAATTATTTAAAAATAAATAAGTTACTTACAATTAACTAAAATATGCGAATCTAAAATTGAGGCTGGGTGTTACAGCATACCTGGAATCTTATCAATTGGGAGGCTGAGGTAGGTGGATTGTGTGGTTTATTTTTTAATTACTATTTTGTAAGCCAGTGTCTTGAAACCTGGTATGGTGGTATACAACTGTAACCCCAGCACTTGGAAGGCTGAGCAGAAAGACTGCCACGAGTTCAAGGCCAGCCTGGGCTACATAGTGAATTCAAGGCACTCTAAACTATACAGCAAGATCCTGTATTTAAAAACAAAACAAAATAAGATCTCACTATGTTCAGGCTGGTGTTGCACTCACTGTGTAACACAAGGTGGACTCCAGCTCCCAGCAATCATCCAGCTCAGCCTTTGGAATTCTGGAATTACAAGTGTGTGCCATCATCCTCAACTCAGATCTCATATTTGAGAGTGACCAGGGTGACACTCACAGCCAACATGGACTACATAGTGAGACCCAACCTCAAAAACTGAAAAGCAGGGCCTAGGATTTGGCTTAGCAGTGTAAGTACCTGCTTGGTGGGCATGAGGTTATGAGTTTGATTCCCAGTACCAAAAAAAAAAAAAAAAAAAAAAAAAATGAAATGTAGTAAACAACAAAATTGAGAAGTCACTCCCCTTTTAAAAAAGAACTCTATACATATTTGTATTTTAAAAAGATTTCTCTTCTGACACACTTAAATCAAAAGCTTTCTGAGAACAAAGGTTTCTCAACAATGCTCAGAAGTATACACCTTTCCAGAGACAGAGATAGGGCAACAGAGGAGAACCTTTGGGCCATGTAAGCCTAATTTTTACTATACCCAGCAGCCTACTAGAGATTATGATATGTCTCCCAAGAAAGGAGAAGTTAAACTAACAAGCATAATTAAAATATTTAAATATTTTTTTAAATTTTATTTAAGGAGAAAAAGAAAAAAAAGCAGAGAAAAGGTACAAGTTATACAGATTTACAGAAAAAAATAAACAGTAGGAAATCACTAGTTAATGGATTACATTTTGTCATCTTAGAAATAATTGTTCAAGTTACAAAATTAAAGCTTATAAAGTGGACATTCCAACAGTGAGACTGCAAACAGTTCTGTTCAATGATCCAATAAAACTCAGTAATATCATTATCTATCTTATATACTTAAATACACATGCAGTTATATCGTTTAGAGCACTTTCTTTTCCTCTCTTTTGTACAATGACAATTACACATTTTGGGTTTTGTTGCTCCCACAGTTCTTATTACTTTTTTGGAAGAGAATAGAACCAAATGTGACATAACAGAACAGTCAGTCAAATCAAAAGGGTGGATGTAACAGATAATGTAAAAGCATAATACTAGGTGATCAACAATGGTTACAATAATGCCTCCCGCTATCTCTAATAGAATTGCCTATATCATTAGTTATAATAAAATTTGAACCAAACAGTAAAGAACAAAACCAACAAAACCAAAACACTGGAGACATTACAGGTCTTCAAAAGTAGATAATAGTCAACCAGCATGGGCGTCATAATGAATCCCACTATCTTCACAGCTGTTGCCTAAACTTTCGAACCTGGTACTATCAAGCAAAACAGAATAGAGGAACATCAGTCAAAACAAGATGGTGAGAGCAACACAGGGCTTTAAATCAAGATAATGGAAAGTCAAAATGGGTTACTATAATATATCCTGCTATTTTTAAATTTATTTTTCCCTTAATTAAAAGGATAAAAAAGTAAATAATAAAATGGAGATTGAGTTAAAAGAGGGCATAACAGAAAATCAGTGCAGATCAAAACATAACCATTTAAGCAAAATAGTGTTTCACCACAAGATTATCCCGACATAAAAGTAGTTACCATATTGTCTCTTTCCTTGAAATCTTTGAGTATAACTTCGTATACTGTAGCATCAAATATATCAAAACAATGTAAAACCATTGAAGAGAAGGACAGTATTACAGGGTGATTTAGAATCAATTAAGAAAATGAACAATGGTTTCTGTATAATCTCCTTGTCTATAAAAGGTTTTGCTTATACTATCATATATAATAAAATTCAGTAAGATACCACCTGTTTAGACCAATCGAGACAGAAGAACAAAAGCTTGATGAGACTTCAAAACAAGATGATACTAAATCAGTATTACCTCTTAAGATGTCATTTTCTCCAAAATAGCTGTTCCTATCATCCAATCTTCTCTGCCTCATTTCTGTTGAGCTCTTTTTCTGTCGTTTGTTGTCAGTTTGTCTTCTTCATTTTGTTTTCTGCTCCATTCATTGTGGCCTCCTGCCACTACTGCTGGATTTTTCGTATTTTTCTTTTTTAGAATATCTTGCAATATTCTCTGTAGAGTTGAATTGGTGGTTGCATATCCCCCTAGTTCCTCTTTATCCTGGAAGCACCTTGTTTTTCCATCAATTTCCAGGGATAGTTGTGCAGGATATATAAATCTTGGCTGGAGATTATTATCTTTCAAAGCTTGAATTATTTCCCCCCACGCTCTTCGTGATTTGATGGTTTGTGCCGAGAAGTCTGCTGTAATTGTGATGGATGTTCCCTTGTAAGTGATCTGTTTCTTGTCTCTGACGGCTTTTAGTATTCTGTTCTTATACTGGATTTTTGGAATTTTGATTATTATATGCCTGGGTGTTGCTCTGTTTCGGTTGTAGGTGGCTGGGGTCCTGTATGCTTCATACAACTGAATATCTTTACCTTTTGCTAAATTAGGAAAATTGTCCTGGATTATTTCTGTGAGTAGCTTTTGTAGTTCATTTGTTTGTGTCCCTACTTCTTCTTTTATGTTCTTAATTCTTAAGTTATAGACCCTCTCATCATCTTCTAGTCTTTGTATTATTGCTGTTTGTTTTCTTGTTATTTTTAAGAACTTTTTCATTTCATGCTCCCATATTACAACTCTGCCCTCCAGTTCAGATAATCTGTCCTTAGTTTCTTTCAAGCTGTTATGCCAGTTTTGGATAGACTTTTTAGTTTCCTGGTAGTCTCTTTGAACCTGATCCACGTATTCTATGCTTTCTCTATTTTCTCCATTAAACAATTCTCCCCTCTTTTTCTGTTCTTCTATTCCACCATCTGTTTTTTCTTGGGCGGTGCTTAGCATTTTTGCTTATGTCTAGCTTCAGGTCATTAATAACTTCATTCCTGAACTTGTGTATGAGGCTCTCGAGATAGCGCTTTATGTCTATTGGTGCTCTGTCTTGCTGTTGTCTCTTTCTCAGGATTGGGGGCCGAGGACCTTTTCTTGTTGCTGCCTCTTCCCATATTCTTTGTTCCTTATATATGCAAGCGTATATAGGAGGCCCAGGTTCCTTCCCTGTCAGCCACAGTCTGATTGAATTGCGCCAGCTAGGTATTCCCACCCACTGTAGCGCACCAGGAAGTTGCAGACCAGGCAGCCTATGCGGGGTCCGCCACTCCAGGTCAATCTACCTTCAGGAGCTGGGACCTGGGCTGTGCTAGCCTACTGGATCTCAGCCAGCAGCGTCACGTGGGCTAGGCACTGCTCACCAATCCCGCTTGAGAGGGGGATACATGACTGAAGTCACTGCAGCGCCCTGTTCCCGCAAGTCTGCCCAGTCCCAGAATGTTCTCTGTTGGAATCTCCTGGACCATGGCAGAGTCCCAGTTTTCCCTCACTCACCGGTGGTGGATGCATGGCTCCCCGCCAGTCCCGCTCTCAACTCCATTCACCAATTCCCGTTCTCAGAGCTTCCGCTCGTCTCTCTCCCTGCCGAGCCGATGCAGACGCAGCCGCGGGGGCGGGAAACCCAAATTGCGGCTTCCAATGGCGCTGGCTCCAGCTTCCACGCTGAGGCTTTATCTGTTCCTGTTATAGCAAGAGGATTGCATTCCCAGTTGGTTTCTCTCAGCCCAGTTCGTTCTTGGGTCACCGGGGCATATCTCCTCCTGCTTATGATTCCTTACTCAGCACCATTCCTGAATTCTAAGATGGGTGTTTCAGAGAGTCTCCGTAGCTGCTGCTATCTGTCCGCCATGTTCTCCCGGAAGTCAAAATATTTAAATATTAACAAAGGAATCTAAATCCTATAATCTCTTTAATATATGAGAAACAGATTTTTACATTTTAACACTTTATAAGAAGCAAGAATAGGGGCTGGGGATTTAGCTCAGGGGCATAAACACCTGCCTTGCAAACAGGCAGTCGTGAGTTCAATCCCCGGTACCAATGAAAAGGAAAAAGACAAAAAAAAAAAAAAAAAAAAAGGAAGCAAGCACAGAAAACTTACAATAGGGAGGGCAGAAGGAAAAAAAAACAGCTCAAAAGAAAGTTAGGTACAGACTTCCGGAAGAGCATGGCAGATAGATAGCAGCAGCTACGGAGGTG